GGGGCGTGTTAGAACGAGCCATTTTAGGTAGGCGTGGCTGACTCTTAACTTTTATAAAGAATATCTCTTTGGAGTTGAGACTTTAGTCTTTGCATCTTTACAGACCACCTTCATGCACCAAGAGATTGTAACACTCCAAAGAGAAAGGAAAAATTGAAATCGCATCATATGACCCCTTTAATAAGTGAGTTGCTGTGTAGGAATCATGACACTGTCAGTAAAATCAAGGTTACTGCTGTATGCTTGCATGCATTCTTCTGCAGTAAAAGTACAGTTAGAAAAAGTATTGACATTTAATGCATACGATTAAAGATATAACAAACTCAAACAGTAAACCTGCAGATATTTGTCATGATACCACAATAACAAAAAATGACAGATCATCAGGAAGATGTTTACTGAGCTAATTTTTTCAGCTATGAAACAAGTTAAAACACAGTATCGTTCAAAATGCATCACTAAAGATCAAAATGTAAATTTGAATGGGTTTTAATGTAATTTTACTTTTTATAGATTTTTTTATTTGAATGTTCTGACGTAATTTAGATTGAAACATGAAGGGCGGGACATAACGAAGAGCCAAAAACAAAAAAAGTAGCCAATAGCATTTATATGATCTCGCCCATATGACATGAGCCTCTGTGTGATGTCTTGTCTCTGGAGCCAAGCATCGTGTGTGTTTCAGTGGTTCAAGTGACACTGACTCGAATCTTCATTTGTCCCAATGGGAAACATATTTACACTGTCAGAATTCCCAGTGGGCAATTGATTTTGAAAAGACATCAAAAAATTGTATACATTAAACCAATGTCAGTGTGAGATTAACTTTTTATTTTCACTCAGTTACCACTGGAAGAAATTGCCATCCAGACTGAATTTAAAATTGTTACAACATCTTAAACAAGTCTTGACTAATAATTGATGTCAAATTGATATCAAGGTGCCCGCTGGGTTGTTCACTATCCTATATATAGTGTTACTTGACAAAGCATACCATATGTGGAGCATTCAACTTTATACAAAAGGTTTTTGGTTTTCAAATGAAAGAAATACTGAGGAAATAATACACCAAATTTGTAATCTCAAATAGTATCTAAAGCTGTATATCCCAGTTCTTTTCTCACTATGATCAACACCGTGTCAGCAGATGGCGATATTTGTTACGTCAAGTCAACCTCTGTATATTCTAATGTGTTCGTCTTCTAAAAACAAATCGATTTGACATTGTGAGTCTATTTGAATTACAGAGGGAAGTGCTCAACAAACAAATAATGTTTGGTTTAAGCACGTAACTTTTTCAGCGTCGGAGTGAAAAAACATGTTTCGGGGTTTTTTTCCAAGCTGTTGCTGCAAGGTGGAACATTTAAAGAATTTTTACAAGACTAACTGCTGTCTGCTTCCACTACTAGAAATGTGTTTTCCATTTAACATTACAGGTGATGTTTAAAGATGTGAAAACAATGAGCAGCATATGGCCTCCCATAGGAAATGTAGCTGATGGTGATATTGATATAGGGTCATTGGCATAAGCGGCCGACCACAAATTTTAGTGTTCCGCTGACAGCTCTGAGGTGAGAAACTAGTGCTATTAAAAGACACCACCACCAACACATTCTACATTATACAAAAGACACTGTATGCAACTCTGTGGTGATCTTTTAAAAATGTCCAATATGAAGTTAAGAATGCTCATATCCGTAGGCTTGTCTCTGGGTCACCCTTATTTCGTTGAATTTATTTGAGGCCCTTTCGTGCTTTAATAATCAAGTATAACTGGTCATGGTTTTTACTCTTTTGGAACTTAAAAACACATCAACAGACCAGGTTCTCCTAGTACCATGAATATCATTTACAACTTAACCTGTGGATTAGCATAAATAGAACTTAGTAGTAGTAGTACTTTGAATGATCTTGCTTTCACAAGTAATTTATTAATACTTCATGTGAAAAAGTTCAACGCTGAGAGTCTATGCAGCAACTTCACATAGGGAGCAATTTAAGGACAGCTAGCTCTAAAAAAAAACAAACTATAGGAGATCCATGCAAATTGGTGATCTTTCATAAAAATGACACCACGTGATCTTGACAGGTTGTATATGGAAGGAACATATTTTAGTTTTTTAAAAATCTGTTTTAACTTGTGCATCTTACTAGTATTGCCAGTTTAGACTAAACTGGCTTATGGAAATTGATGTGCAATCGAGTAATAGATTTTTTGATGAAAAGATTTCAGGCAACAATAGTCATTTTGAAATCCTAAATACTGGAACTCCAGTCCAAAGATTTTCTCCTTGTTCATCAGCACTGCTGTATTTTTACAGTATTTTGTTTTATAAAAGTCACAACACTTATTGTCTGTGCTGTGTTGCGTCTGCTGCACTGAATACTATCCTCACTAACTTAAAGGACCTTGTTGAATGATTTGTTCTTGGGTGCAAAATAGGAAATTATTATTCTATGAACACGGAAAAGGTCAATAATTAGTGACACTTGAATTGATAACGTGAATATACATACTTATAATACAATAAATGACCCGTTTTTTTAAATCCTTTTTTTCATATATAATAGAAAAATTCAGTAAATATATTGCCCTAAAAGAACCTGATGTTAATTTGTTTCAAATGTTATTTGATCTTGTTTTGAAAAAGCTCTGCTATGCCGTTGTTGCTGATGTACAGTATAACAGAGGAATGCTGATGTGATTTTACAACAAAATTTATCATCGTTTTGTGTTCTATTTTATTAGAATTAAGAACATCATATAAGACTGCTGTTATACAGAATAAAACAAAAGCAAATTTCTTTCTTCAGCCTACATAAAATACTATCATAAATCATCCCTGTAATCCTGGTAAGAACAGGGTGATTGTTGTCTGTTTACATGTTATTTTGCAGTAAAATTAACACGAGTTAAAGATAAAAATTATTTTAGCATTTAATGCAGAATGTTAAAGAAATACTAAACTCATCAAAACATGCAGTTACTTGACATGATGCCTCACACGATAATAATGAAAAGAATATCAGAGCATCACAGAAAGAGGTTTACTGAGCTAATAAATTCACTTAAGAACCAAGCAAAAGCGTTCCTTCGAGCATGTTGATCATGGCCACAGCAGCATCACTAAAGATCACGAACATCGACTGCTTTCATGGCATTCTTCACCCAGCTCAGCTGAGGATCCACGCAGATACGATAACTCCTCTTTGTGACAAAACTGTTCAAAGGAAAAGATCGGTTACTCCACACAGAAATCGTACACACACACAGTGTAATATATTTTTACTATTAGAATTAGTATGAATATGATGACAAATTCAAACTCACATGACTCCAGGTTTGGAGCATTCCACTCTTGTCTCTATGTAGGAATCAATTTTAGCAATGGGGATTTTTCTCCCGTAATTACTAAAACAGCATTCGGATGGTAAATTGGCACCTGTGTTGAAAAATATCATTTATGTAATAAATCTGTTTATTAATATTTTAACTGTAATGTTAACAGATAAATTGCTCATTGTAAGAAAATTCATTAGATCAACTCACCCTTGGAAATAAGTTTTTTTTTTTTTAAATATATACACACATTTCTATTCACACCACTGAACAAATAAATATGTTTTAGGGTGACTTACTGTTGCCCATTACACCAGATTGGAGGAATGCAACCGCCAGAAGACCAATAAAAAGACAAAGACAATACTGACGCATAGCTGCAGATTCTTCTTCTTCTTGAGATAAAGCTGTTATCAACTGGATAATGTTAATGTCCTACAAACTTTACCCTGGGTTTTAAAGGTAGAAGGGGAGGGGGCGAGTGTGGTTTAGGTAAGGGGGCAGGTTATAGGTGAGAAAATGTTCCACTGTGATCACAACTGAAAAAAATTGCTCATAAGTCTTACAGGAAACGGTTTTGTGGTTATTTCATGTAGCTAAACTGCACCTCATGTATGACTCACCATCTTAGTCTACAGAGCCATTATTTTCAGTGTGAACACTAATGAAGTGAAGAGATAATAGACCACGAATATATACAACTTTATTTCTATATCTTCTGCATTGACAACAAAAGCAAAGGCAGCATTTTTGAACAAGAGGGCACATAACACATGAGAACACAGACAGATTAAAGCGTGTTGTGTGAGCTGCATCAGTGCTTGCTCAAATAACTTCTGAAAGCTTCAATAAGTGTGGGATTGCATGCATACAGTCTGCACACATTTGAATGTTCATACAGTGTTGATATAGATGAACAAAAAGCTAACATTAAATAGCTTGGTCTGGCCTGTTATTCATATGTGACCCTGGAGCACAAAACCAGTCTTAAGTCGCTTGGGTATATTTGAAGCAATAGCCAAAAATACATTGTATGGGTTAAAATGATTGATTTTTCTTTTATGCCAAAAATCATTAGGATGTTAAGTAAAGATCATGTTTCTTGAAGATATTTTGTAAATTGCTTACCGTAAATATATCAAAACTTAATTTTTGATTAGTAATATGCATTGCTAAGAACTTCATTTGGACAACATTAAAGGCAATTTTATCAGTATTTTGATTTTTTTGCACCCTCAGATTACAGATTTTCAAATAATTGTATCTCAGCCAAATATTCCTATCCTAACAAGCCACACATCAATGGGAAGCTAATTTATTCAGCTTTCAGATGATGTATAAATCTAAAATTTAAAAAAATTGACCCTTATGACTGGTTCTGTGGTCCAGGGTCACAAATGTGGGCACAGATACATTGAACATCCTGCTGCCTTCATCTTACCGCCTGATTCTGTCAGTTCCCACATGAAACACTAACATAATAAATACATTGCACGATAACATTACTGTACTGCATTATTAACATTTCCTGTATTCCTGGATGGCCTATGCTCTTTTGAACAGAATGAATTGTTTATGGTGATGCACACACTCAAGTACTCACAATATAACATGAAGTTGTTTATATACACACACACACACACGTCTTCTCTGTTATTACAACTGAGATTGTCTTCACTACATTTATTGTACATGAACTCAAACAGCTGAATGCACTGGACACATATAAAGTCTTTTAAGCTCTTTTTCTGAGTTATGTGCATAAGTTAATTCAAAACTTTGAACTCAAAGCAAAAAAGAAAGCCATTAACTTAATGCTCCTGGTGCATGTCCCCCAGATATATAAATATTTAAAAACTGAGGGCAATGAATCAGATAATGAAAACAGCCAACATGAACAAAAAAAAGAGTTCCTGTGGTTCCTATATGGTAATGAACAACAAACAAAACATGAGATGGCAGAGCATAGTTAAGATGACAGTGAGAATCTATGAAAAAAATAAAATTAGCAAAAGCAGCTTATTGCAGTAGTGTGGTTTAAACCACAAAAAAGGTGGGAGGTTTTCCTTTGATCACAGTGATCACAAAGCAGTGAAATCTCACCACATTATCTTGATACCATCTAGATATCAAGTGCCTTTCAATATTCTGGTGCCTTAATAGCTTGTTTTCATATTACCGTGTGTACATACAGTATACACACTTACACTCTCTGAAGATATGAAATTTAGGTCTTTCTTTTTTCCCCCTCACAAAAATAATAATCCATTCACTTTACCATGCATTCTCATCAAGATAATAAATAAGCATCTGGATGTTTAACATGATACGGTCAATACTTCGCAGTGAAATATATTTACCAAAATGACTTTCACTTCTCTAAACTAAAAAAAAAACCGTAATCGCTGTTACACTGGTTCCATAAATTAGGCCAGTTAAATGCATGTTTACATGAAACAAGTAAAGACTATGAAGCATTCTAACATGGTATTTCATAGATTTTGAATAATTAAGATTTTGTCTGATTTTAAGTGTTGAATGTCAAGAATAATTTACTGCAAGATCTAACGAAGACATTATGTCAAGCATAATGCTGAGATGAGCCGTATGACAGAAAACCACCACCCATCTATGAACACATACTAAATCTTTCATCTACCTTCTTTTCAACACTTCAACCACCATGAGATCCAAGCTGCACCACAATGTTAAAGCCACATTCATTATGCTAAAATCCTGTTCTGTAGTCATGAACTCAAACCAAACTTTGTAACTTCAGAAACGCTAGTATTCCAGCATGTTTGGTTTTAGACTGGCACAACACTTCCAATAAAAAAAATAAAAAAAAGAGGAAAACAAAGAGAATCCAGTAGCAATTCCACAAACAGTATTCACTCAAATCTCTGAATAAAGACATTTGTAATACAGAGAACAGAAACACAGATTACAGACAGATTACAGAGAGTAAGAGGTAGAATAAACAATAGTTATTGAAAAGAAACTTAGATTAAAAAGTGTACAAAAGTCTTAGAAACAATGGTGGGATTCACTGACATTGCATCCTAGCAAACTAAATAATCTCGTCATGATTTGTGCACTTCCAGTGTTTTAAAACACCACTACCTTTGAGATTCCAGGATTTTGAAGGATACTCAAGAGGCCACCAAGAAAAAGAATCTCATTTCAAGTCAATATGCTTTCACAAGCGTTAAGAACTAAATATTAGAAACAAACAACAAATAAAAACAACCTCAGAAAACCACAGCAAAACATATATTATTTTATTTCGCTTAAATGGGAATGCCTTGTTTAAGCTGAGGGAGGCAGAAGGATAAAGCAGAAGAGAAAGGGTGAAGGGGAAAGTAATGAAAGGACAGAGACATTAAATCATTTAGATCTTCACAAACTCACATTGCCACACCCAATTGGGAGTTGTGATGTGTTGCCTCCGTTCCAGCCCTGTGAGGTCAGTTTGTATGGAACTGGACACGTATGATGGCCACTGGAACGGATATTTTCGGATGTGGTACCAGAGGTATGCAGGAGTACCCATGCACAGTCAACATGAGTTTCTCTCTTAGTCTCTATGAGGTGGAAGAGAAGACATGAGGATGCATCCTTAGTGTTTCAGTAGTGGACTGCCCCGGTCTTGACCTTTCTGCAAAGCCTGAAGGACCTGGAGGTACAAAAGAAAGTAAGTTAAAAAAAAAAAATTTAAATATGAACAGCATTGTATCATTCTTCTATATATAACATTTAATCCTTTTCGAACTAAAATATAATATAAAATATAATTCAGAAAATATTTAGACCCTCTCATTTTTTTCCCCACACTTTATGTTGCAGCCTTATGCTAAAATGCTTTTAAATGATTTTTTAAAAATACATTTGCAGAGTTATTACAAATCTAGTGTTTTGTCATTATGGTTTATAAAGTGCACAAAAATGTGATATATTTTTTTTTAAAGCATTTTAGGATGCAACATAAAATGTGGGCAAAAAAAGAAGTCTGAATACGTTTTAAATCCACTGTATATTATTTTCAAAATTCTGGGGTTAGTGAGTTACCTTGAAAGAAATAGATCATTTTATTTAGCAAGGACACATTAAATTGTCAAAAAAGGACAGGAAAGAGAGGTAAGTATAATGTTAAAATGATTTTCCTTTCAAATCAAATCTGTTATTTTGAACTTTATCAATGAATCACGAAAGAATGAGCCACTGTTTCCAAAAAATGAGTTACTGATTCGTTCTTTAATGATTAAAGTATGTGCAATAACCTTATACTTATATATCACCCTAAATCCTAGTACATCCCTACAACTTTATTTTATTCTACTCCTATTCTATCTATAGCACACCTGTACATACAATTTATTCTTTTTTTGTGGTTTATATTTATGCATGTGTATTTTATTCACATCTTATTTTTATTATCTGTGTGTTGTTGTTGTCTCCGTGTAAAGCTTGAGACACTACAACAAATTCCTTGTATGTGCAAACATACTTGGCAATAAAGCTCTTTCTGATTCTGATTCTAATAAGAAATGTTTTTTGAGCACCAAATGATGCTGAAGACTAGAGTAATGGCTGCTGAATGTAATATTTCACAACATTATGTTTTTTTCTTATGTATTTTTGATTGGATAAATGCAGCCTTGGGGAGCATTACAAGTGGGTTTGGGGTTGGTAACTTTTGAACTTTAGTACTGATATATATATATACACACACACACAGTATCTCACAGAAGTGAGTACACCCCTCACATTTTTGTAAATATTTTATTATAACTTTTCATGTGACAACACTGAATAAGCTGAGGGTAAAGGTGATGGATTGGCCAAGCATGGGCATCCTCAAACGGAAGGTGGAGGAGTGCAAGGTCTCTAACATCCACCAGCTCTGTGATGTTGTCATGGAGGTGTGGAAGAGGACTCCAGTGGCAACCTGTGAAGCTCTGGTGAACTCCATGCCCAAGAGGGTTAAGGCAGTGCTGGAAAATAATGGTGGGCACACAAAATATTGACACTTTGGGCCCAATTTGGACATTTTCACTTAGGGGTGTACTCACTTTTGTGGCCAGCGGTTTAGACATTAATGGCTCTGTGTTGAGTTATTTTGAGGGGACAGCAAATTTACACTGTTATACAAACTGTACACTCACTACTTTACATTGTAGCAAAGTGTCATTTCTTCAGTGTTGTCACATGAAAAGATATTATAAAATATTTACAAAAATGTGAGGGGTGTACTCACTTCTG